TCTTTCCTGCTTATGCAGGGGGTCGGACTCGATGATCTATTGAGGTCCCTTCCGACCCTAACATCTATGAATCTATGAATCTATGAAAGGAAATCCGAAGGCATCCAAGTATGGTACAATCAACAGTAAAGCTATGGCCTACCTAATACTATTATTAGATAGCTGAGGCATATCTAATATTATTGACTACTGATAGAACGCAGGGCCTTCACTTAGGTCTGAACCTGTAATTTTGACCCAGGTAAAATTCCCGTTAGAAGTCAAGGCAGTTTGCCGGAAGATAAGGGCTCTTTTGGGGTTGGCAGAAAGAGAGAGAGAGGGAGAGAGAGCGGGAGAGGGAGAGGGAGAGAGAGAGAGAGAGAGATGTTGTCTATGTAACCCTGAGGCTGAGGAGGGCCTTGGTGCCACTAAATGGACAGATGGTTTGTCACAGAGAATCCCCTCAAGGAAATTCCTTTCAAGGATCTCAAAGATAAAAGAAAGAGATGTTTCCTCCTACCCAGCATGTGCTACACGTGGGACCATTTCTGCCAAGCCTGCAATGACTCCTTAAGGAATTACAAGGTGGGAGGGAGAGACTTGTTCAATAAATAATGAAGAATATTCCTCTGAGAACTGTGATAGTGGCTACAGCCAATCCTTGCAGTAATGACAACCCTATTGCATTCCTCAGTGAGACAGGGTGTCTGGTGAAATGAGGGTTGTCCTCTTCAGCCTTGGTGACTTCAGAGGTCTGGCAGTCTGGAGCCCGGACATGATTCTGCACTGTGCATACTGTGATAAAGAAAAGAAAAAATATAAATGACCAAACACCAAACATGAGAGCAAGTTGTGCTCGTGGCGTGGGGGAAGTAGTGGGCACGGCCTGATAGCCACGAGATCAGCGGTCTCGGCCCGCGCTGATTGGCAGGGGGCGGGCGGGTGCAGCCCGTTTAAAAGGAAAAGCGCGCGTGCCAAAAAGCTGGGACCCACGCCATATCGGAGAGGCCTGATCACCCTCACCGGAGGTCCTGCGTCCACGAAATCCCTTCCCTCCGGACGCCCCCATCACGACCGAGTTAGAGCTCTCGAGTTAACAGCGAGTTT